TCAGGCTCCCACCAAGCAAGGCCGCAGGGAGCATGTCGCCGGGCCGCAGGGAGCAGGTAGGGCGGCGGACCTCACACGCGCCTGCTGGCTAGGATGCGCTCGGCCCTGCCCCTTCCGCAGTGCCACGGCCATGCGCCACAGACGCCCCTGCGCTCACTGTGGCAAAGAGCTTCCCGATGACCTCAGTCGTCAGGCCGGCTGGCACCCCGCGCTGGTCGTGCTGCGCCGCGAGTAGCGCCCTCAACGCAGCTGCGGCCTGAGGCGCTGGGAGCCGGGCGCCAGCCTTGACCGCGCACACCGCTGCGTCAACGTCTGCAGGGCCCATAGCCCGGCCGGGCCCCCAGCCGCCCGAGTGCGCAGGAGCGGGAGCGAGCGCCGCCGCCGCGGTAGCCACGCTGCTGCCGCCTGCCGCAGCTGCCGCTGCGGTGAGGGAGCTGATCGCCTGTGCATAGGGTTCACCCCGCGGTGGCTGTGCCGCACCAGATGCCGCCGCGCCGCTGGGAGCGGCCAGCGCGGCACCGGCGATGCTGTCGCTACGGGCCCGCTGCAGCAGTGAGAGCATCTCCTGCATGCGCTGCACATTGTGGCTTGAGAGGACCCCGTTCCCCTGCAACCTGCTGGGCCCGGCAGCCGCAGGCAAGTGGGCCGGCAACTGCACCGGCTGCTGGTGCTGCTGTGGCCCTGCAGCGGGCTGCCGCCGCTGCTGCAGCAGCGCCAGCTGCGTGGCTATTCGCGACAAGCCTTGCACGTCTGCCGGCCGCTGCTGCTGTTGGGGTGCCAGCCGCTGCCGCTGCTGGGACTGCTGCTGCTGCTGCTGCTGCTGCTGCTGCTGCTGCTGCTGCCGCCGGTGCGACTGCTGCTGCGGGCGTACCTCCTGGGTGGCCGCCCACTCGGCCACGGGCATGGGGGGCGGCATCCAGTCCTCCATCGTCACGCGCAGCTGGCCGCTCGCCACCCGCGAATCTGCGGGGGCGCGCTGCCCCGTCGTGGGACCCGCGTGCAGCACCGCCGCGGGCACGAGGCGGTACACCCGCGTGGGGCGCTCTTGCGGCCGTCGCGGCCCGCGCGGGGGCGCAGGCCGAGCCGGGAGCCGCTGGGGCGCCCACGCTGCGGCGCCGCCGCCGCTGCCAGCGCGCGCGGGCGCGGTCCACTCGTCGTCGCTGCCGCTGCTGTCGTGCTCCGCCCACTCGTCGTCGCTGCCGCTGCCGCTGCCGCTGGTGGCCGCGCGCCGCGCGCCTCCGCCGCCGCCGCCGCTGCTGCTGCCGCGCCGCGAGTCGTCGGCCGCCGCCTGCGCCGCGTAGTGGTGCGCGATCACCTGCTCGTGTGGCAGCGCGGCGGCCGAGATCCGCTGCAGCGCCGCCTCCGCCGCCTGCAGCACCGCGTCCGCCGCGCGGATCACGTCCTCCGACCCCCACTCCCCGTTGCCCGGCGTGTTGTACGCCCGCGCGTTGTCCGCCAAGGCCCGCATCTGCGCCAGCAGCTCCTCCGTCGACCGCACCATGCTCATGTGGACGCGCTTCTGGATGCGCCGCAGCCAGGTCTCCCGGTCCCGCGGCACCCAGTCGTTGTAGTCCGGCACGTACTGCTGGTCCACCTGCACCTCAAACCACCCCTCGGTGTCCGCCTTGCGCGCCGCGGCGATCGCGCCCAGCAGCAGCGCGTTGAGCTCCTTCTGGGCGTCCTGCAGGTCGCGCAGCGACGGCGGCGGGCCGTCAAACAGGCTGAGGCTCGGCGGCGGCGGCGGCGGCGGCTGCGGCGGCGGCGGGGGGCGCGCGGCGCCGTGCGCGCCGCCATTGAGGTGCTGCCGCTGCTGCTGCTCCCGCTGCGGGTGCTGATGCTGCCGCTGCTGGGGTTTGTGCGCTTGGGACTGCGGTTCGCTCTCTCGCGCGACGCGCGACTCGTGCCGTTGGCGGCGCCGCAGCTGTTCAGCTGCGGCCGCTGCATCCGTGCCGCCTGCAGCAAGCTCGCCCGCATTCCGCTTTACCC